TACAGAATCCAAGCTGAGGTTTGAACCCATTTTCAATTGGGTCAGCACCAGATTTGTTCACCTGAACTTCCTTCCTTCTGGCTAATTTCAACTACTGTTTCCTCAAATGCCATTTTCCGTCCCGGGCTATATTGAGCCTATCGTATAGAAAACAGCTTCATTTTCTTGGTCGGTTTCTCTTAAGTGTGTTCTAATCCCACACCATTTTCATTTATTTTAAAATCATTTAAAACATTTCAAAATAAAATTTAAAACTATGATTTTACTTTATGCGTTACTATTACTATCAATCCTCCCATCCTTCCTTTCACCCTTCCCCTCCCACTTGTGACTGTACGACTGTAACTTTGTCGCTTGTAGCCTTACGATTTATATCGACTGTTTCCTAGGATGATTGGATTGCTTCTTGTACCCTAGGACTTACCATTAAGCGTTGGACCTTCTGATTCTTGACGAATGTATCTTTTCTTTTATGGACACTGAGAGCATTTGCACCAAAGACCAATTCCTTGGGTGTCCAATCCCACTTGGCCAATAAAGGATTCTATTCTATTCTATTCCACCCAGCTTCAGACTCCGAGCCTCGGTCAAAGCAGGCTGCGACAAGACTTACCTGACGAGCCCTTTCCAGCCTCCTAGATAGGGGTCCATGAGGATTTCTTCCTGGCCGTTCAGGCAGCCCTGGAACATGACCAGCACCCCTTTCAAGCCATGAACGTCCTCGCCATCAGCCATGGTGAAGCTAGGAAAGCAGAGGAGAGACTCCAAGCGGATGGGGAACAACAACAAAAAAAAGAAGAGCCTCAGGGGAGCACCTGCCAGGTAAGAAAGATGCTTCTGTTACGTCAGAAAATAAGACGTCTCTGGCCCTGGGTGGAAAACGAAACGAAACCTTGAAAAGTCACCGGGAAGGGCGTAGTTGACAGGACGGCGGATCCAGCGCTTTTCCGCCAGGCTGTCAAAACACCCAAGTATAAAAAGGATGTGTTTGTTTTGAGGGGTTGGGAGTGTGTGTGCATGGGGCAGGGGTGGAATTATTATTACCCATCGGGATTGAGCAGGTTGAGCTGGTCTAGCTTGTTCTCTCTCCCCCCCCAACGGCCCCGTTATAACGACTTGAAACGCGAAAGGATCGCTTGAAACAAAAGTTCCTGCTTCAATTTAGGCAGTCCTCAGCCACCACGAAGCCCAGGATTTCCATTCGCTTACAAACAGTTGCAGGGGTTCAGCGAGCTGAGCTCTGTTTTTGCTAAGGGAATCCACGGCCGTTGTTAAGTCAGTCCCACGGTTGTTAAGTAAAACCAGCTGTTCCCCCAACTGACTTGGCTTGTCGGGACCTCGGGGGGGGGGGACACGGCAGCTCGTCGTAAATACGAGTCCGTGGCCAAGCATCCAAATTTGGATCACGTGAATCCCGGGGGAAGCGGGGGGGGGGGAGGCAGGGATGCTGCCACGGTGGTTAAGTCTGAAAAACACAAGTCACTTTCCCCCCCCCCCCGTCCCCCAGAATCGTCGTAATAACTCTGGTCATTAAGTGAAAAGGGCGGTCAAGTCAAGCACTAACCTGGATCTATGAATTTGTGCTTCCTCCCCGCTCCCCCCCCCCAGATCGAGTCTCATTCGCTTGCAAATAGATCCAGGTGGTTTTAATGTTTTAGCTTGGAGGCAGCCAGCCAGATGAATGTACCTTTTCTTTTATGGGCACTGAGAGCATTGGCCCCAAGACAAATCAATTGGGTTAAATTTTAACACACACACAAACCCTCCACCCCAAGTTAGCCCCAATTAAAACCAGTGAACCTTTGCAGGGGGTGTGTGTGTGTGTCCGACAGCAACCACTTTGTCCAGGGCAGAGTCCAAGCGTGCCAGGCATTCAGATCCAAGGCCAGGATGGGTTTTTTTTAGAGGTGATCCCAGCTGATCCATGAACTCTGTGGGACCAATTTGTGGGTTGGGGGATTTTCCACCCTCCCCCTCCTCCTCTTCCTCCCACACTCCTCCTCTCCTCCCTCCTCCTCCCACACTCCTCCTCCTCTCCTTTTCCCCCCATCAATGTTTTAAAAAGGAAACCAGAAATGCCACAAAGGCCGGAATTCCCACCGGAAATCTGGTTCTGCTCTGAACAATCAGCGGCGGACAATCGTAAACAACAAGCCAGTTAATAAGCCTTATAGTTTGGGGTTAACCTCGGGCGCCCCCCAAACTTGGCCGCTTTTAAGACTTGTGGACTTCAACTCCCAGAATTCTTGGAAGCCCACCTGCGGCCAAGTTTGGGGGGGCCCGGGGTTAAAAGACTACATTGTTCAATACTTAAGAACTTGGCTTCCTCAATAGAACAGAAGGGAAGAGTCTGAAAGGGATCTCAGAGGTCTTCTAGTCCAACCCCCCTGCTCAGAGGCAGGAGAACCCCATACCTGGCTTGTTTCAAATTCAGAACTTCGCCTAGGATTGAGAGATGGGGCAGAACGATAATTAACCATCTTGTAACCACGGTTTAAACCAGGGGGGCGACCTCCATGGCTTCAGAAACCCCCCCTCTCCCCAATTCTCTAGGTCTCTGCCCCACTAGGCTCCCACTCCCAAGCTTTAGCCCCGCCCACAGCCCTTGAAAGGGGAGGGGCTTCTTCTCCTTCTCCCCCAGGCGGGGGCTTCCCTCCCCTCCCCGGCCGGCGCTTCAACTCACCTTAGCAACCCCTTCGTCCTTTCCTGCTTTCAGCCGCTCCCCCTTTCCTCAGATCCGCCAATGAGGAGCCTCCCTCCTGCCCGCGCGACCCGCCTCCTCCCGCCTCCCGCTAAAGCCAATAGGCTCCCCGCTGGCCGGCTTTTGCCGCCGCCGGCCAATGGGGGGGCGTGGGGGGGGGCGTTCAGAAACGGCTTTGGGGGAAGAGCGCGCTTCCGGGAAGGCGGGTCTGCGGTACGCATGCGCCACTCTCCCGCGGGTAGGTTTCTTTTAGTTTTATTTCTTTTATTTTCTTGTCAAACAATTATTAGATAACAGGTATAAGCCTGGTTATAAATACATGAAATGGATACGAATAAGAAAAAAAGAAACAATAGGACAGGGACGATAGGCACGTTTTAGCTGCGCTTATGCACGCCCCCCTAACAGGTTCGTCGCCTCTTCTACTAGAAATAATTTTTCTAAAAATTTTAGACCGGCCCGACTCGAGTTTTAGGGTCGAGTATGAATGAACTGGCAAGAGGTTCGAGCGCAGGCATCTCTTCTGCTGCAGACGGAGGCGCTTTCTCTTTTTAAAAATTGTACCCGGAAGAACGGGCTCTGTGGGGGG